GAAGCCTGGCGGACTTCAACTCCCAGAATTCCCTAGCTCTCCAACCTTGGCAACTTGAAGCCTGGCGGACTTCAACTCCCAGAATTCCCCAGCTCTCCAAACTTGGCAAGTTGAAGCTTGGCGGACTTCAACTCCCAGAATTCCCCAGCTCTCCAAACTTGGCAACTTGAAGCCTGGCGGACTTCAACTCCCAGAATTCCCTAGCTCTCCAACCTTGGCAACTTGAAGCCTGGTGTACTTCAACTCCCAGAATTCCCTAGCTCTCCAACCTTGGCAACTTGAAGCCTGGTGGACTTCAACTCCCAGAATTCCCCAGCTCTCCAACCTTGGCAACTTTAAGCTTGGCTGACTCCAGAATTCTGGGAGTTGAAGTCCGCCAGGCTTAAAGTTGCCAAGATTGGAGACCCCTGCTCTAAAGATTCTCGACAGAAAGAGCCAAGGGGTTACCAGCTACTCAAACCATAATAGCAAAGACTAAGCAACGTCCCAAGTCGTTGCGTTTCCAGGACGTCCCGGGGAAGCGCCCTGAAGTTTGACCGGCAAAGACTCAACAACCGCCAAGTCAACTTTTTCGCGAGACGGGCAGCCATATAGATTTTTTTTTTTTTTTAGAGAAGACTTAAAATGTAGAATCTGGGGCTGGACTGCGAGGCGTGGTCTAAGTGCAAACGTGACATGGCCGCAAGAAGAGGGGGAGTGGCACTTTTCCTCCCGGGGCAGAGCCCCTCTGCGCCTGGAGTGGGCGTGCCATGGGCAACCCAGAGGCGGGGCAGGCGCAGCGGCTAGAAGGCAGAAGGGAGGGGGGGCGGTTTGGCTGGCTGTGGGGGGAAAGGGCTGAAGCGGGACCCAGGAGCTAGGAAGGGGGGGGTCCTGCAGACGAAGAGAGAAGCGGGTGGTGCTTTGCTCTGCACCGTTCCCCGGTGCCCCCCCCCCAAAAAACCCAAAACCCTGACAAGAAGAGAAGGAAAAGCGCCCAGTAAAGGGAGGCGTGGCAAACACGCGTTGATCAAAACACAGGGCAGCTCGCACAAGGAAGAGCTTGGCTACCGGGACGAAGTCAACGCGGAAAATTAGGAACAGGAGTATTACTAAAAACTGCGCGTTGGAAAGGGGAGGTGAAGAGAGGAGGAAGGGGGAAAAAAAGCTAACCGAAGTCGATCTTGCCTGTCCTCTCGCCTCTGGAGGGCTTGTCCAAGGGGGGGAGGAAATGCAAGGGGACTTCAGGAACCACGTCGGGGGAAAGTGGGGGGGGGAGTAGGAACCGCACAGGGAAAACCACTTGCAGCGGTGCAAGCACAGGGCATTAAAAAAAACCAGTCCGGTTCTTGCAAAAGACAAGAGTACATCTAAAGGGCAGGTAAAGTGTTAAAAAAGAGCGCCGAGGACCGCTGTCCGCCTGCATTGGATCAGCGCGCAAGAGCTCACCCTTGTCCAGCTAGGAAGCAATTCCTAAAAAAAAAAAAAACCGGGGTGGTGGAGAAGAGATCAAGCGAGAGATCCACGGAAGTTTGGTGGGGGTTTTGCAGAGGAAGCGCGGGGAAAAAAGACGAACTCCCCGCAAACCGCGCGGCACCGAGAAATTGCACGGCCCGTGGCAGGTTGCGCGCGCACACGCCCACTCCGCTTGCACTGGCAAGTCCCCGCTGCGCCTGGGCTTTTCGGGCCTCTTTCCAAGCGGCTGCAGCGCCCCCCGATTCCCTCGCGCGCGCGCGCAAGGGGGGTGGGGGTGGGTGCGCGCGCGCGCCCTCCCCGCCGCCACCCGCGGCGCTTCTCCGCCTTACCTCTCCAGACGCCGCTTGCCAGCTCCGCTCCCTCCTTCCTTTCCGAAGCTTGTTTTGAAATTCACCTTCCCCTTCCAGCTCCAACCCTCCTCCCTTTTCTCCGCCCCTCCAGTCCCCTCCCCTCCTCTGTCCCCGGCACAAGCTGCCTCACGTACGCGGCTGCAGGCAGCCCCCGGCCTGGAGTCCCGGCTCGGAAGGGAGGTACTCGCTTTGCGGTGGCGGCGGCATAGCAGCACGTCGAGGAAACGCGCAAAACCAGAACGCAAACAACGCGAGCCGCACCGAGGAGCCGGCTGGGAGTGTAGATGGGGGGCGGGGGGGGGGGGAAGCGCCCTGGCAATGCTGCACACATCCGCCAACCCGCGTGGCCACAAAATAGCAGGCGCCAGCTGACTGGGCAGACAGCTTATCCACGGGGCAAGTGCCACCAGTCGGGCATGGAAACCTCGAGGCGTGTGGCCAACCGCCGCTGTAGACAAAATGCTAGCTCAGGTGAATTTCTGGTTCCTCGCACACTCGAGGGAGGTTTTATTACCACTGTAGGTTCGAGGATCGGGTGATACTGTACTGGGCACACGCTAAAAGGACACCGGCATCGCGCTTTGCTTAACAACCCTTTGGGAGCTAGGAAGGCCAGAGGTCCCCTACCTATGTCAGATTTCAAGCCCCATCATTCCCAGCTGGCAGGATTTGGCAAAAAAAACAAAAACAAAACATTCGTTCAGAAAGACTTGATGGATATTTGACACTAGTTATGCTGCTTCCTAGGCTAACGCCTTGCGAAGTGGCTTACAAAATATAAAATAATAGGTATAATTCATAAATATAAACCGAATTCATTAAAAAAAGGTGAGACAAAGGGAAAACAAAAAAAGCAAAGACCTTTTCATGAACTATTATTGATACAGGATGAAAAGATACATTTCAACACCTAAAAATTAATATACCCAAGTTCTGAAGAAGGGCATACAGAGCAGAAATTTGACAAAAAAAACATGGAAGCAAAGACAAAGTGTGCAGAGGGGGAGCAAAATACGTTGCAGAGACTACAACTACCGTACAAAGGGGACATACAGAAAGCCTTGTCACTTGTCCAATGAATTGACTCAAAAATTACTAGCATATATAGAATTGCTTCATTGAGCAAATAAGGCTGTTGTGGGTTTTTAAAATCCACTTCTTAGTATTGATTTGGAGCCATGTTCACTGCAGAGGAAATCAGTTTTATTAAAAAAAAAGTTTGCCATTTTTCACCACTGAATTTGCCACTACTGCAGTTATCCTTCTTAACACACATATTAACAAGTTGTTTGCCCTAGGGGTTTGCAATCATTTGTTTGAAGAGACACACCTACACTGCAAACAGAAGATGGAGTGTAGCTCAAGACTCAAGGAAGCAATGAAAGAGCCTAGAAAACTTTGAAGAAGAAAAAAAAGGGGGGGGGGCCTGCCAAGCTAAAATGTGACACCTCTGACACCTTATATTTATCAGTTTAATGTTGGATAGCTCCTTCCTTGGTCTTCTAAGAAACATTCTGTATTCTTAACTGCAGGGCAAAAAAATAACAATTTTTCATTTGATCATAAAATCATAATCATCAGATCATAAAGTGAGTAGAGGCTTATCTGCAACTTTGGTGGAACAGAAATTCTCAATTTTTCCTAGCTGAGGAGAAAAGAATGGTTTGTCTTCCAAAGTATGCCAGGCCTATTTTAGGATTTAGATTAACAGTCCTCTGGTTTTTTCCCCACCACAAATGGTGCTACGTTTGGGGGCCATTATGCTGTTGTAATCCACAGATAAAGACAGACACAGCTTTGACACCTGCAAAAAATGTGGTTTTGGGATTGAATGTGTTCTGTGGGCCACTGTTTGCCTTCGTTTGACTTGAAGTAACCCCTTTCCACCATCCATTTGCTATCTAGAGCAGTCTTTCCCAACCTTGCGCCCTCTAGATGTATTGGAATTGCAATTCCTAACGTTTTTAGAAGCTGAAAGCTCTAGGAATTCCAGTCCAACCTATCTGGAGGATTCAGAAAGGCTGCTATGGGGCTTTCTGTCCCCATTTATTGAGGCTGTCAATAAATATAAATTGGTACAAATGCACACAAAGGATTTCCCCCCCCCAAAAAAAATTTTATGGGAGAACTTCTGTATTTGCACACTATGATTCCTTTGAGGGGATGAGCTACGAAGTGTTTTTAAGTGAGTTAAAAGTCTCAAAGACCAAACATACCTGTTTGCAAAATAAAGGAAATCAAGACATTTTCATTAGCCAATCTTAGGGAATCAAGGGGTTCGTTCACTTTCTACTTAAGACTATAGTAGAAGCAAAATATATGCAGGCATTAATGTACAAACATCCAGAAAAGTAATACACAAATGATTGGGCAGCTGTAGTTTGCTTCCTATGAGAAACAGCCTCTTGACAACCCTGTGCCATCTGAATGTTCGGCTACACGATCATTTTCCTCCGCCAGCATGGCCAATACACGCTCTGTCTGCAGAGGTTGGTGGTCAAATGCACCTGCAGCTGCGCCCTTAGAAAAGGCGGAGATTCTGCTTTTCTTCATGGGGAAAGAGCTTAATTTAGGCAAACAGTAATTGGAAGGGGGTGGGGGTGGAGAAAAAGCGGTTGAATATGTCAGCCAGCACAAAAATGCACAAAATATGAAGAAAGTAAACCCGGGAAGCTTAAAACATCAGAAGCCGAGAATGTGTATTGAGGCAGATCATGGAGATAGTCAAAACCAAAATTGCACTTTTTTTTTTAACTTAACGCCTAAGCAGTTTGGGGAGCTCTCCGTCGCCAGACGAAGCAATGGCCGCTGGCTTCCAAGAGGAATCCAAAAGGGCTGGATCATTTCCAGGCAGATGAAGTAACTACTGTAAATTTAATAATGGATCCTGCATATGCAGAAGCAATATATCTGCCAATAGCCGCTTTGGCCGATTAAGCACAAAGCCAGCAACAGTAAGTCGCCGCCTTCCAGCCGCTTAAAAACTCCCTCCGAGAGCCACCTTTGCACGCGTCGTTCGGAACTATATTGGACCTTTGCTCCGAGCCAGCCCCCACGTCGGCTGTCCTTTCGCAAGATCTGCCACCTTTTTTGCAGCGGACACCCACGATCTTGCCTTAATTTATTTACCAGTCCCGCCAGTGCGCGGTGGACTTTGGCAGGGCCTGTCCAGCTCGGTCGCTGCACCCATCATCTCACCTTGCAGACGGCTCCTCCCGGGGCGGGCGGCAGGGGGAGCGGACAGGGAGGCCTGGCCGCCTCTCCCGCGCTCGCGACTCCACGTGCTTCCCGACGCCAGGCTTTGCCTCTCGCCTTCTTCCTCCTTGCCGGCCGGGTTAGAACAGCTCGGAAAGATCTGTTGTAAACAAGCTGCCCTCATGGCCCAACCCCTCGGCGCGCATTGGCTGCGCGGCTCTATTTAAATACACGCCCCCAGCCGGAGCCCTGCAAAAAATAAACACCGAAGCCAAGCCGCTTCGGCTCTCCCCGTCCTCCCCCGCTTTCACCCACTCCTTTCCGTCCAGCTCTGCCTTTGGAGCTCTTTTTAAACTCCTTGCTGCGATTGCGAAGCTCGGTAGAAGATAGCAGGGCTTGGTTTAACGTCCCCAAATTTTCCCTTTCCCAGCCCATAAGGGGATTCTGGTCCTTTAGCGGAGACAGGTTGTTTTAACGTTATTCGTCGCCTTCATTGCAAACCCAGAAAGTCCTCATTGGAGGAAATGCCGTTGTCGTGAAATAACCTTTCACAAAAACTGACCTGTCGGTGCAGCAACAGCACGTTATGGCTGTGGTGTAGCCCACCGACAAGGGAAAGATACACCAGCGAGCCTACCATTGGTAACTGCATCCGTGGGCACCTGTTTTCGTCGGAGCTTTTTTGCAATTTAGGGGAGATGAGCAACCCTTCTTTCAGGACTGTTTGTAAAGATGACTGAGATTCAAATGAAGGTGCCATATGGGTAGCCTTTCCAACTTCGTAGATCATCCGTAGTGCCTGAGGATGATGAGGGTTACCCCATCATCCTTAGGTACAATGGATGAGCTACAAAGTTATATAATTAAGTAATACTAAGTACTGTTGTAGCCTCAGGCATCATCAGCTAGAGTTTAATACATAAAGTTAACTACTAATCCTCATGTAAAACACAAATCTAAGTGTCTGTCTGATATTAATACAAGAAACTGACATGAGCTCAGCCAGAATCTGGTGTTGCTGTAAGCATGCTAGAACGCTGGCCTTAATCTTTGCTTCTATCTTGGGATTGTGGCATAAATTCTTCAGGAATAATAAAATATTTGTACTGTGGTGGATTCTCTCATTTTAATACTGAATGATCAATATTAGTGCCAAATGCTGTATCAATGCCCATGTTACATATTAAGGGTAGCAATGAGGCATGATGCTGGCACATATTTTCAAAGGCAGATCTCAAAGGCAGTCATATAAATAATAGAAATGACTCATGTAAATATTTGCTGGAGAGGTTCAATTAATACTACTAATTACTTATCATGTCGGTAGCAATGGTCCTACTACTTTTACCTCTGTGCCATTTCTCCTTAGGCTGATTTCAAATCTTGGAGGTTAAATATGGGGAGAAAGAAATTTAACAGGGAAGAGACAGAAGGGAATGGGTCAATCTAGAAAATACATAACAGTCTCCTTTCATTCATGGATTACCTGTTGGTGCTAACAGGCATTTCTTCCCAGGTCAGAAATTGGCTTCAATGAAGGGAATGTTCTCTGCAGTGGAGCATGGAAGGAAAGAGTTAATTTACACATCCACGTCAAGGAGGGTGCTCCTCTCTAGAGAATGCTATTTATTAAAATCAGGAATACATGCTTTTTTTTTTTTAGAAAAGAATTTTATTTTTATTTTTAAACAAACAATTCATCATTAATAAATCAGTGTAATATCTGGGTTGGAATACATTCTTAATTGGAAGTGTAATATAGCACTGATAGGCAATCCCTATTCTGCCGAATTCATACTCTAGTTAGTTCATTAGTGCTGAATGCATTAATCAGGCCAGGAAGAAGCTAGGGCTATATTATACAAATACTGGTTGGGTGGATCCTTTCTCCAATTCCTCATGTGGCAATGGCAACAGCCTAGATTTTGGAATACGATCTCCTGGATTGGCTGAAGAAGCTCCAGATTAGCTTGATTTACACATAGGCACGCATGCACACACACACTCACACACAGAGAGAGAGATCCTTGCTATTTTCCCCACCCAGTGGCTTCTCTGTTAGCTTGGACCGTGTCCAAGTCCTCTGTGCACTGTGCCAGTGCAAGCGCACACACAACATCTTCTGCTTTGCTTCGGCCTGCCTGCTCACAAGTGCCATGCAGTTTTAAACGTGCAGGAGAAAAAAGTACTGTGTTTCTCCCATTGCCTCTGGCTGCGCAGGAGGAGGAGTGGACACAGAACAGAATGGTGAGACAGGCAGAAGCACATGCCAGCTGTCCCTGTATGGTATTTCTCTGAAATGCTTCCTGAATTGCAGAGAACATATTTTCTTTGCATTAACTCAGGGCATATATTTGATGTCAGGGCACAATATACCTGACTGTGCCACACTTTAATGAACATAAAAATAACCACATGCCTTCAGGCTTGCCTTTATGGCTCAATGGAAGTTTACAAGTTAAAAACAAACCAAATACAATTAAGCATATCAAAACGACGTCTCTGAAAATTCTGGGAATCTGCACACCAAATTTCTTCCTGCAATCCAAAACTGATATATTGTACAACATGAGGCAAGGCAAAAATACATTACATGTTCTTGGTGATTGGAGCTAATCTTCCCTCTAACCATAAAGCTCTTGGGTTGGCCCCAATTGTGCAGTTCCCAATAAATTAACAGCATCCGAAGTTTCCAGAAAACTGGCTATAAAACAACTGTGCTATAGTCGTTTTAGTAGGATTTTGCTCTGAAAAAAAAATCCAGTTATGTTTAATTTCTGTTATAAACTGGGTTGTTAGGTTGGTTGCTTTGTAGTTTAACATTATTTTAAGTCTACAACTATGCAAAATTAAAATATATTTTCTGCTATGAATTTGGAATTCTAACACATCTCCTTAATCTCTGTGTCGTCCTGCAGAAAACCTTTTATTCTCTCTCTCTCCCTCCCTCCCTCCCTCTCTCTCACATACACACACACACACCAATTTCAATTGCCTCCCAGATTGTTTTGTATAGTGGGTGTTAATATTGTCAGAACCGTGTTCCTATTGCTTTATTTACTCAAATCTACATTTTTAAAACATCAGTTGTAGCCAACATACATTTTGTTTGGCTGAATTCCTGTTCATTGTACTCATTTGGTTTTAAGACTTTCATGTTCAGAAGGAAGTTTCTTTCTTCTAATAGTCTGACTCTGCATATTAACTTGATGTTATCTTTTCCAATGTGCAGTATTTATTCTCAGTTTCTCTTATTATTGGTTTGATTAACTGCCAAGTGTTGGCTGCGATGATTAAACTTGCCTATTGGAAAGTTAGTATAAAACATGCTTGTTTTCCCAAGATTCTGAATGGATTCACACAAGATGTAACATTTGCTAGTCCAGCCTCATCCCCAAAGGTCTATCTTAAATCCTGGGTCCACCTCTATTAGCAATAAGTCCTTTTATTCACAGGAAGACAGTTAAGGTCATACAACAAGTATACATAAAATGAGACAATCTCTGAAAGGGGTACTAAGAATATATAATAAATTGAATTTATTAAGGACTGTTGTCTAAACAGGTATCTGCTGACTAAATGACTCACAGGTGTAATAATATCCATATACCCTAGTGACTATTCTACTCAAGACAATTCTGCTGGTGACTGTAGGAAGGGGCAAAGCTTGTGAGAATCCCAATGCATGATGCATGAAAACATGACACGTAATGCAACATCTTTCTCAACACAACTCACACAGAGCTAAAACGTGGTTTCTTTCCAGAGGAAACACTGAGGAACATGCCTGACAGAAAGGAAGAAATGGGAATGGGCAACACCACAAGACAAAGATTTTGACCATGTGTAGCAGGTATCATCGAACAATGGTTGAAGTAAATTCTGTTTACAACCAGCCCGGGAACACAATTGCAGGGTAGTCTAAGTACATCAACCATTCTCACTATGTTGGCTGATCTTCACTGGCACAAGGACAGATGGTGAGGAACTAGAGAGAGAAAGTGAACCAGAGTGAGAAGTAGAGAGCAGAATCCAAGTGAAGAAACATGAGTCCGAGCAAAGAAGCGACTGCATGGCTCTATGCTATCCGATTCCACTTTTACATGGTTGATAACATGCCAAGGCTTAGCTCTTAGCCTGTGCGCTCTGTTCTGTATGTGTTCCACAGTACAGTATTTTAGTTGTGTTGATTGGTTTAACCTATGCAAACCACCTAGAACCGTGTGTGAGTGGGCAGTCATAGAAACTGAAATAAATGATGTGGCTCCAAGTACAGTGTGATGGAGTCCCTGGAACAGCACAGGGAAACCTTCTCTGGCTCTCCCTATCAAAAATATCTAGTAGAGGGCAGAGCATAGGAAAATTGCTGGCCCTGTATCGCTGTGCCACTAAAGCATGGAAGCATTCTCAGGGATTGCTTCCTTACCAGCACTCAGGGTAACCTTGAATATCTCTGTGTTCAAGGCAAAATTGCTGTAAGGAAAACAAGTACAATTGCAGTCTTTCCATTTCTATCCCAAAACTTAAGTATGTTCCTTTGATCTTCCCCTCTGAATATTTAAGAATAACTGAAGTGGCAAGAACACCAATGTCAATGTGTCTTGTTTCAATAAATGCATTATTTTCAAAATTATTTTGTCCAGCATAATTCGTGAGGAACCTGGGCTTTGTTTGTTCTTGGAATTCCTGTATGAAAAATAAATGCTAGAAGGAAAACCCCCCTTAACTATTGATCTAAAGCACGATGTGTTTTGTTTCAAAAACCTAGGATATGGGTATGGCTCTAAAAACAGCTACCAATAACAGTTATCTTAATTATGATTAATTTCAAATAAATTCCACAGAAAAGCTTCATTTCTCTTTGATACTACTGTAAGGGGATATATTGACACTATGGGCATATATCAATGCAGGATTTTGGGGCAACTGGGCAAGGCATTTTCTACTGCTGTTGTCCATGATTTTTCTTCCATTTCCCAGTCTCTAACCTTAGGGTATTCTGGTGGCCTCTCATAGACATGTGTTTATTTGCCACACTAGGATCCAATTCAACGGTGTTTAGCTTCCAAGGGCAAGCAAAGTTGGACAGGCGCTGCCACATGGAGGACGTTTAAATTAAATTTTAT